AAACATGTGTGACCGTCGGTGTCATCTGCTACTGACGGGTTAAAAACAGAAACAGAAACTCTTTGCTTGAGGCTTACTTTACTTTTCTGCATCTCGTCAACGTCAGAGAGTGACAGACGCAGGTGTGTGGTTACCATGGTGACCAATATGACTCAGCTGTTTTCATTTTTCTTTTTATCTTTTCTACAGTTCTTTCAGCAGAATATAGGCATTTTTACAATATTTAGGCAGCAACTTTTTTTAAAAAAGTCAAAAATAATCTTGTTTTGTTGACAAAATGTTAAGTTCACAAAGTGCAGCGTTCAAGAAAACTTTATTGCCCACTTTTGACCTTTGAACAAAAAAAAAAAAATACAAGACCTTACAGTAAACTTATACATTAGAGAAATAATGTTTAAAAACTGATAAACCGTATTTTTTTTTTCTTGGACATAATTTTGTTATTTTGGGCATTATTATTATTTTAAGTCCCTGACATCAAACTAGTTAAACTACCTAGCTCGTTTTAAATAGTTTTTAATAACCTGACCTGCTTCTGAACTGAAACATAAAATAATTTAAATAAGCCTGCAGATATTATCACTCCCCCGCAGAAGAGCTTCACGYGATGAAAGTTGTTGCTGCACTTTTAAATGAGGTCCAGTTGAAAGTTACCTGGTTGAAACGAGACTTTCCGTACAGGAAGGGCGGATATTCAGACATGCTGCAAACAAAACAAGGTTTAAAACGTGTCCGGTTTGTTTCGCTCCACAACAAAAGTACGAGCAAAAGTCAGCTGTCGCTAGGTGCATTATGGGAAATGTAGTTTTTCTGAGTTGATTTACCGTGCCAGTTTAGGAATGTTACTTTTAATAGACTACAACTCCCAAACTCATCTTATTCTCCTGTAGTTTTAGAACTGAAACTTACGGAGCCCGCCAAATAAAAATAAGTAGGAACTATTTATTGACCTTAACCGTCCGTCTCCGTTTTAAAGTGACACTTCCTCCTCCTGCCGCTGGTTACTTTCCTCTGCCTTCATCCGGGAGATTTTCTCTTCACCTGCCGCGCGACTTCTCTTCTGCTCACGTGCCCGTATTAAAGAAGGAGCAAACAGAATAATGAGCTTTGATAGTGAGACGGATCAAATGAGACCTAATTTGTGTTTCTACTGGAGCTGGAGCCGATCAGTGATGTTTGCATTTATAAAGCAAATGTAGCCCCCTAGTGGAAGTCCTGCGCTTCATGTCTGTGACCTAAAATTTAACACAAAAGCAAAATTACATCACCACACATTAACACTACGTCTGCACATTTCCAGTATTACATTATTATTTTCACGTTATTATGATAATTTACATAAAATTGAATCAATATAATCACTCCGGTTTCCCCCCAGAGACCCAAGACATGTACAAGAGGTTTCCTCCAGGCCTCCYTTGCAAAAAAAGATCTGTGATCTCAATGGGATTTGCCCGGTTAAATAAAGGTTATTAATAAGAAATGATTAACAAAAGATACGGTGAGCAGAAAACACAAAATACTCTTTATTAAATATACAAAATTTGTGAAACAGAATTGCATCACGTATTGTAAACTTTCCAATCTTACATACCAGTTTGAGCACATTTCACCACCTACAGTCAAGGACCAAAAAAAAAAAAATCATTTCAAACATAAATATAAACCTAACCAAATGGAAGACATGAATGAGATTATTATTCCTCTCCTTTTCAGGTGCCGATTTGTTTACACAGTCATCCTAATGTTGCAATCACACAGCAGAGCCGAGGCGCTTTGAGCTCCCTGGCAAACGATCACTAACAGGTGTCAAAACAAGGCCGGGTGTTTTACTCAGAGACAATCAGAGGAGTGCAGAACAGTGTAAAGTCAGTCTAACTACACCGATATCACACAGACAGCAGAGGTTTGAATCTGACATTTAAAGTAGTGCAAAAACATCCACAACGCTGTTAAAAGTGGCATCATGTTAGAATACTTTACGGTGCATCAATCAGCTCTATAAGATTAAGGGTTTTTTCCACGTTTTTTGGCATTTCACAGTAAATCATTGACAGTTTCTACTGGTATGCATACTATTTTATTGTGCAGTGACCTAAACAATATCATAAAGCATCAAAAGAGTTAAAAACACATTTTTCAGTGAACACGTGGCTTTTCTTCTTCCTAATCTGAACCCACCCAGAGCACTGGCTAGTTAAAATGAAGTGCTTAGGTTTTCGACGAACGTCAAAACTAAAACCAAAAAATAAGGCAGCGTTTGGTATTTTCGACACAGCGTATACGCTGTAAAAAAAAAAAAAAAGTGGCGCGCGTCCCTTTTGTAACACCTGGAAGTGTGGAGCAGAAAGCAGATGCGGCCCGTGAACACTGAGGGAGGGAAGTCAAGTACCAGCATGTCGCAGGCATCTTCTCAATGCACTGGCAGTCGTGTTGATAACATGCATGTGGGAAGGCAGGAGCATGAAGATCAGAGAGAAGGCGGCGGGGCCTGATCTTGACGGATACTGTTTTCACCCGATAACACTGTGACCCTTATGAGRATCGGTTAGCTTATGGGGCTGAGCACGGAGCAGACAGGAGAGAAGAGAAAGAGAAGAATGACGCGAGCGAGAGATAAACAGTGCTTGTCGTGCAGTGAGATTCAAACCTTTGTTGGCTAAGAACACTTCAGAACATTTGGAAGATACAATCAGTTCCTCAGCAGCGTGGACATGAAGGGGTTTGAACTCTCACGTCTCTCATTTGGTTTGCAGTTTCAAGAAGTGTGTCAAAGCGCTCTGCGTTAAAGGGATCCACGATTAGTTGTAACATTAAACTTTATTTGATTAACATTTATTTAAACTGTAAAATAACGACTGTAAAAATACTGTAGGATGTTCAGTTTATTAAAAATTTTTTAAATATATTTTAACACGGACGGAGCCATTTTATTTACACTCAAAGCATTCTGGGTAAATGATGACATCAACTAGGTCATC